CAAAAAGAAACTGGCTTACTGTCCTTAGGAACCTGGTTTCAGGCTGTGTCTACACACTCACTGTATTTTTACAAACTTGGCCTGAATCTTCTGACCCACCCGTCTGGAGCAGGTCTCCAGAGCACAGAGCAGGACTCCTTGGGAGACCCCTGATTGCTCTCTGGACTTCATGGGGAAGAGGACATGGTGGGAGGGGGCAGTCAGAGAGCGGAAGTACGAACTGGTGCAGTGTTCTGAGCCCAGAAATGTCCCAGACGAGGATGTTTTGATCTCATTTTGAAGCCATTTCAACCTCAGAAGGCAGGTTGCCAAGCCCAGACACTCAACTTTGGCCACACTCTGACAAATAGACACCAAACGCTTTCAGTGTGCTGAGAATGCCAAGTGTTGGAGGCACCTCTACAGGGAACACCCACCCCATGAGCCTTCCATCTTTACTCAGATTCAAATCAGAGAGGGGCCAAAGCATCACAAGCACCGCAAGCCCGCAGAAACAGTGCTACTCTCGCTGAGCGCCTGAGCGCTGAGCACCTCTGGCCGGGATTCTGCTGTCACACATCTTTCCTTCAGTAGGCTTTCTGCCCTTTGGAGGGGAACTCTGCTATTTAAAGGATCTTTTTAGTTCCCTGTGTCTCAGTCAAAGACAGCAGCCTCCCAACCCCATAGCGAAGGGAAGAGCTGTTGAACTTCTCAGGAGAACAGTCCTTGGCCAAACCTTGCTATAAGTGCTTCTCCAGAAAACCTGAATCTTCATGGAAGACAAAAGATGTCAAGAACTCAGACTCTGGAGTCTCAGGTGAGGCTCTGAATCTCCCTTACCTCAGTTTTTTCCTGTGAAATAAGAGGATCTGTTCCTTCATTGGAGGTCATGATTCCATGTGAGAAGGAATGCATGGATGCTTGAAATTAAGTGTGCGATAAAGACAGACAATTATTACTTGGGCCACAACTCTTATAGGCATGATTTTTTTTCCTTATAACAATCTTTGAAGGCAGATACTTTATGCCTGTCTCACAGCTGACACTGTAAGGTACAGTATGCAGTCAGGGTCTCACAGAGAATGGGGGCAGGGTTAGACTGCCTGACCAAACAATGACTCCATCTGGAGCATGTGCAGACATCCCTGTCTGTACATATCGCTCCAGGCTTCTACTGGCCAGCATAGAGCTAAACCCATTCCTCTCTGTCATGTATCTGCAGAAGCCACTCTGCCAAAGTCCCAGAACTTCCAGGAACATCGAAGTCACACACTTGTCAGGATCACACCCAGAAAAGCATCTTACATAGCAAAGGAGTCATCTGCCTTGTAAAGAGTCCCTCTGCCCATTAGCAGATGCCCTGTTGCTCCTTAGCATCATGGTGTTCCTGAACACAAGTGCCTCTGCACTGTCACATCCCAGAATTCTGTGCTTAGGTTAATTTTCCGTGAAGAATCTTGGATTCTACAGCAAGTGACCATAGGAAATTCAAAAGGCCCGCAGGGACTTCTCCCTCACCCTCCAACATGTGACTGGTTTTAACACACTCAGGTCACTGAGAGGAGCACTCCACGCTGCAATCTTTTCCACTCCTGCTCCTGCAGGTGGCAGCTGAAGTCATGCGCAGAAGGACCCAGGTGTCTGAGGACTTCTCGGTGCCCTGTCGTTGATTCATCTGTCTGTAGACATTCTAGACTCTATGTCTCCGAGACACGCCACGACAGAGTGCATGGCGAGGTGAGGCTGCCTGACTTTTCCCTTAGCTCCCCCCACACACACCCTTTTTTTTTCTTCTGGCCTTGGGACCAAAAGTGTTCTGGACATATTTTTCATTTTTCCAAATATCAATTGCTCTTTTATTCCCTCTCTGAAGCAGTGAGTAATAAGAGTTGTGTCTGGTCCTGAAATTCCGACTGAAATAAATTAGCCCAATGACCAACAGGAGGTGCCTAGAACAATAACAGCAGAATATTTGGCATGTTACAAAAGAGCCCCTGGATGTTGAAGTACAGTAAGTCTAGAAGCACATTACAGAGCGGTGTTGCCAGAACGGGGACGCAATGAGCCATCCAGGCAGCAGAACGCCTCATAAATTAATCTTGCTTTTTTTTCCTTTTTGGTCCACTGTTCACAGTTCTTTTAGCTTTCTGATTAATGGAGCATGAAGAAGGGTATTTTTGGTGTGGCCTGTGTCCCCAGCAGGCAGGCAGATGCCAAGCCTGTGTGTAAATGTATACATCTATCCCCTCAGCTGGTCTGGCATCGCTAGGCCACTGGCTGCATTAACAAGAGAGAGAAAATAGACTTGGGAAGCAATGAGCTGCTAATAAATACTGAGCACCTACTGGGTATCAGGAACCACACTAAGCTCACGGAGGACAAGATGGAAGATGGTCCCTCTTGGCACTCACAGTTTAGACATCTGTCGGTTTCTCAGATCCAGCCCTGTGTCAGTACAGTTGAAAAGTGGGGAAGCCGTGGTCCATGGTCGGCTCAGCATCCCATATCTCTCTGTCCCTGGAGGGAACCACTCTTCATGTGATCCCAGGTGGTGGTGGGTAGTGAGCCTGCCTCCCACGGGAAGAAGCCCCCATCTTCCTCTCCACTTCCTGAGAGCTGAGAAGACCTGGAACAAGATTTAGCCTAAGAGTCATCCCTGCCAAGAGCTCTAAACCTTCAAGGACTGTACCCAAGATATTGTGGTGAGCTGAAAAGAGTTCCTCAAAAGATATCCACATCCTAACCCTTGGGACTTGGGAATATTATCTGATATTATAAAAGAAAACTTTATGGATGTCATTAAATCAAGAATTTTGAAGCAACCACTACATAATCCAGGATAATCCCCACAATCCCATGTATCTTTAAAAGAAGGCGACAGGGAAATTTCACACACAGAAGAGGAGATGCAATGTGACCACAGAGACAGAGGATAGAGTGATGTTTCCAAAAGCCAAGGGATGTTGGCAGCCGCTATCAGAAGCTGGAAGAAGCAAGGAAAGGAAACCCTCCTAGAACCTTTAGAGGGAATGCAGCCAGGCTGATTCTGTAATAGTGCAGTCCAGTGACACTGACCTTGGATTTATCTCCAGAACTGTAAGATTAATATCTGTTAATTTTAAATCATTCAATTTATGGAAATGTGTTATAAACATCTTGACAGTTTAGAGTTTTTCATGACATAGTTGCCCCTACTATACAGTAGACTGTACCTTTAGAATACCACCCTAGATTCTCAGTCTCATCAGTTCCAAAAATTGCTTTTTGCCATTCCTCTAGAATTTTCCTTTTCTGACTGAAGGGAGCCATAAGAGATCTGTGACTTGCCACCCTAAGCAATAACCCTACATGCAGGGCTCAAATGAGGGTTAAGGTCAAGAATGTTTAGGACTAGCTTTCCACACAGCAGACACACAATAAATCAAGTTCAGAGACTCCATCTACATTCAGTCTACACAGTGTGTCTTTTTTCTAAAGTTGGATTTGTTGTCCACATGTAAGAGTCAGGAGATTGCACAAAAAAGATGGCACAAACCCCACATGTTCCTGCCAACAGTTGACTAGCCATTTCAGACACGTATAGTCTTGCCTTGCTCCATCATGCTCTTATCTCCCACCCAGTCTACTCCTCATTTTAGTAAATTTTCAAAACCTCAGTGCATCTGAGTGTGCCATCCTCATTGCAAATATGCATCTTTCATCCATAAGCCAAAGGCTGGGCACCTGATCCAAGGACTGTGTTCTGCCAAAAGACTTAGCTTAAGACATTTTTGTTCATAGCCTTTCTGACAAATGGTGCCCAAGCAATTGGATATCCACAGGCCAAAAAAAAAAAAATTAACTTTACACAGAAGTTAATTCCAAATGAGCCATGAACTAGAATGCAAGGCATAAAACTATAAAACTGGTTTTAAAAGATAACTATTTGAGAACAAGGACTAGGTGGTGAGTTCTTAGATTTGACACGAAAAGGCTCAACTCATAAAATAATTAAAACTACCTCTGCAATAGAGCAAATGAGGAGAATAAAAGACATGATTTTTAACAGATTCTGTGTATCAGTTGCAACCACAAATCATTTGAAATACTTTTTGTCATACTGAACATGTACTGACTTTTGTCTTGTGCTTGTCCTCCAAACAATACAGTTTGGCAACTAGTTCCATAACATATGCACTGTTCTGGGTGCTACAAGTAATCTAGAGATAAAGTATACAGGAGGATTATGTGGGAAGTATACAGGAGGATGTATGCAAATACTGCACCACTTTGTATTAAGAATTTGAGCATTCCTGAACTTTGGTGTCTTCAAGGGTCCTGGGACCAATCCCCTTGTGAATAACAAGGAACAATTACATACTTTTTAAAAAGTCCAATCCTCAAACATTACATAGTTTGATCTCATTTGTATGACAATGTGAAATGATTGGAAATGAAGGACAGATGTTTGGTTTTTAGGAGTTAGGGACAGTGGCTTGGGTTAGAGGAGGCACCAGGTATCAAAGGGCAACACAAACTCCTGTACTTCAGGGATTTTGTGTCTTGACTCTTGTGATAGGCACACAAAACTACATCTGTGACAAATTATCTAAAATCAATTGCACACTGAATGAGTACAAGTTAAACTGTATAAATCTGAATAAGATTGGTAGTCTATCAATATCATGGTTTTTATAACATCCTACAATGATGAAAGAAACTGTTAAGAAAAACTGAGAAAATGATACACAGTCTCTCTGTACTATTGATTATTACAGTATGTGGGTCTACAAAGATCTCTAGTAAATTTTTCATTACAAATCACGTTGGTTTTTTTTAACCACAGGTTTAATATAAACTCGCAAATATAGAAGGAAAGAGATCAGAAAAGTCACCATGCTAAAATATAACCTTTTGGCAATCATCGTTTTCTATAGAAACATGGAAAAACTGTGACAGCAGGTGCCAAAACTCAGGACAATGGGTAGTTGGGGTCCTGCAGTCCCCTGCCTTCTGTGACATCAGAGCTCATGCTTGAAGGATACCTGGTGACCAGAGGTGAGGAAGCGCCATCTGCCTGTCCACAGGAGACACCTGTGGCACCTGCCCTGAGGACATGGAATTCCAACAGATGGACGGCAGGGCAAGGGTGGCAGCTCAGCTGTTTGAACAGAGAAGGGGCAGCCACTGCGAGGACAAGAAGCAAGTAAGGCCAGGCCTGTAATGTTGTTTTCCTCCTAAGTTCTCTCCTCTACTCCCAGCAGGCTGTAAGACTGTCAAGAACAGAACAGAAATAAGAGTCACGTTAGTAAATATCACATTGTCTCTCTAGTGTAAAAATTAATAAAAACTGAAAGAGTAACAAGATCCAAAATGTATAACAGATATTGTAAAAGTGAAAGGGAAGGAAAGTGCTCTAAAGGATGTAACTGTATATATAAGTATGTAAGACAGATGCCCATATTACTAAATTTTTGTTGGATCATTGACCTGAACAGTTTGCACTGTCAGTGTTTGGGTGGCTATCCACTTTTTATGCTTTGGTTTTGTAACTTGAACAACTATTTCTAAGATGACAATATGTAATGTATCAACTAGTCATTTCTTAGTGTTACTTTTTTAAATTCTGTATTACTCCACCTTTTTTTCTATTTTGTTTTTTTCTTTCTTTAAATAAATAAAAAAATTTTTAAAAATAATTTTAAAAAGAACAGGACAGGCCTTCCACTGACTTTCCCTCATCCTCACCTGGGAAAGCACAACATCCAGCTTGGGAGCATCTTCCCCGCACCATTTCCAACACTCTCTCATTTAATTCTGAGCAATATCAAAAGAAAGTCTGAGTTTCCAGAAGGGCTGGGGTTTTGTCTAGTTTCCTGCTAAATCCCCAGTGCCCCAAGTGGTACGCAGTGCATAGCAGGTACTGAATGAGTGAATGGATACCCATAAATAGGATAATACACCTGAATTGGACAGTTCCTGGGAATTCGTTCACAGAACTGAAATTCAAACTGGTTTTTTTGAGTTTGTCAAAATAGAAAACTTTGCATTTGCTGTGTACATCGAGGTGTCCATCCCCCTCTGTCTTTCTTGACCTACAATGTTCTGAGAGGCAGATGCTATCAACTCCATTCACTGATAGGTAAAACAAGGCTCAAAAAGACCAAAGGGCCATGTAGTGGGCACAAATCAGCATTGGAAAGTTGGCCCATCTGATTCTACAACCCCAAGCAAGGAGCCCCAGGCACTCCACTGGCTCTGGGTGAAGTGTGGAGGGGTGTTAAAGAGGCACGAAGCTCAGTTGTGCCTTGCACCATAGACAGGATAGACTTTACTCTGAGGGTAATAAGAAGCCACTGAAAGCTTTAATCAGAGCAATGAGTAGTCTACACATGCTTTCAGATTTCTTCTCTCTCATTTACTGTACATGTGCCACATGCCTCTTATATGCTGCACCATAAGGTTGATTATACGTGGTACATGACAGGGGACTTGATAGGTTTCTGTCACACTGTTAATTTTCCTGAAAAGTGTCCCCTAAGTGCAAAACTCCAGAAATGTTCCTTTTACAAAAATCATAAGGCCATGCTCAGGCTGACTGGAGGAGAGGCAGATGCCAGCCCTCTCCTGTGAGTTGATGCCATTCACGGACTGCAGGGGAAGAGAAGTCAACAAGCTAAGACCTCCTATGAATTGGCACCAAGTGACCAACTGATTGGAGAAACATGGGCTGTGATGATAGCCAATGAAGTAAAATACAACTTAATGCCTGTAGTGTTTAGTGGTTCCCTGACTTTGCAGGCCAGTCTGATCATCTATTAAGAGGATAACAATAGACTCCAGCCCTTCCAGGGGAAGAACCAGCAGTGTCTCCTGAGATCCACGCCATTTTAGAACTGAGGATGCTGTGAAAAAAAATGATCATCCTGCCTCCCTGCTAAGCAATAGTGAACCTACTGCTACATAGCCTAGAGTCAAATATCCCACTTCCCCTATCCTCCTTCTCCTCCCCCCCCCCCACCGCCCATTAGCAAATGAGAATCACAAATCTGAGCATCTCCTGGGAGGTTGACTATAGCAAATAAGGGGGACTTCCTTCTACCATGTCTTTGAAGGCAAATATTTTTATTACTATTTTGCTCTTTTCTGATTAATACTACTGCTCTATTCAATATTCTGTTTTGATAAGTTCTATAGTGTTCTATATTTCATCTCATTTTGATATACGTGATTGAAAGAACAACTATTATAAAGATAACAAAATATACTCTGATACCTATTACTGTTATCCCGGTAACCTGCTGTAAAGTTCTGTACCAATTTCACTGTACAATCTTAGCTGGCTTTATTCTGACTTGTTCTGTTGTATACTTTCAAAATAAAATTTTAAAAAACAAAAAAAAAGGATAACAATACAGAATGTAGCATCTATGAAGGATCTCCTTCTGAAGTAGCCATTGTTAACTCCCTACTATCTTGTTTTGAAATCCTGCATCGTTCTCATTGTTTTGTTTGGTCAGGTTTTATTGTGTTTCATTTGATTTTATTATATTCAATTGCATGGGAAGCTATTTCAAAGGCATCAAGACATATTATGGTAACCGTTTTGGATTTACTACTATCTGGTTTTGAAGTCCTGTACTGCCTTCATTGTTTTGTTTCTATTGGCTCTATTCTTTTCTGTTTTGTTTGATTTTACTATGTCTGAAGGTATGGGCAGCTATTTAAAGACAATAAGAGGCATTATGATAACAACTGTTGATTTCCGATTATCTTGTTTTGAAATACTGTGTCACACTATCTTGCTTTGGTTGGCTATATTGTTTTATTTTTCTTGGTTTTATTCTCTTTACAATGAAATGTTTTTTAATTTTAAAAATCTTATGAAATTTATATGAAAATTCATGCCCCCACCCTAAGCGAAATGGACAAGCTATACTATGTATAAGTGGATACAATAGGAAATAGAAAGTCTTCATAATTATATGTCCAAAAGTTTTCACCAATAAATTCTATCATTCATTTGAACAAAAGTAATACTAATCTTACACAAATTCTAACACAAACATAGAGGATGAGGGAATTCTTACCAATTTATTTTAAGGGACAACATAACATTGATTACCAAAAGTCATCAAAATTATAGGAAAAAAAATCCAATGTCCAAATGAATGTGCAAAAAAATCTTGATACAATAGTAGTAAATCAAACCCAGCAATACAGTCTACCATCCTTTTCTCTAGTTTCAATATCTGAGGGTTTAACTAGTGAGTCAAACAGTTCCCTCTAAAAGTCATGTTTTTGCTGTCATATACTTTTAGTTAGGCCTATAGTGGTTGAATCTATACTGCACATGTACAGACTTTATTCTTGTCCAGTACAATGTAACAACTATTATACAGTATTTACACTGTATTGGGTATCATAAGCAATCTAGAAATGACTCAAAGTATACAGGAGTATGTGTATAGGTTAAATGTAAATCCTATAGCATTTTATACAAAGGACTTGAGCATCGGTGGACTTTGGTGTCCATGGGGTATCTTGGAACCAATCCCCTATGGATACTGAGGGGCAGTTGTACTTGAAAGGGCTCACACACTGAATGAATAGAATCGACTGATGGAATGCAAGGTTGGTTCAATGTTCAAAAGTCAACTAAGGCAATTTATTACAAAAAAGGGTCACTAACATAATACCTTGGTGGGTAAAAAAAAAAAAAAGCATTTCTCTAATTCAGCATTCATTCATGTTAAACTTCTCAGAGAACTAGGAATAAAATAAAATGTTTTATCTAGAAACATCCATAACTAATGTCACATTTAATGGTGAAATTTAACTATTTCATTTTTTCACTTATTCTTTCAAAACAAGATAAAGATATTCAATTTTACCACTTCTTTATATTTTATTGGTGGTTCAATGTACAAACAAGGTGGCAAAGACCAATGGCTTTTTAAAAGGAAAACCTGGAAATAATTAAACACAAACTTTCTTCATAGACAACCAAATGTTTTATAGACAAAGTCCTAAACTCTACAAAAACACTATTTAAATTCATTCTTTTATCCTTAATGTTACATTTTGGAACAGCATGTAACAATGGAAAATAATAAAAATTTTCTCTTCAAATTCTTGAACCTTGAATTTTTGGTAGGTAACACATGAATTTCATGCAAAAATTCAAAAAACTGCAACCTTTGGCACAAACAGTTAAGTTGTAAGATACCAACTCAATTTGATTCTTATAAACAAACAATTGGGAAGTGAAGCTCAAATTTTTCATTTATAATAGCATCAAAAACATGCAACACTTTGAAAAGATGTACAAGGTTTCTACACTTAAAAACAACAAGGCATTGTTAAGAGAAATTAAAGAATATGTAATGCAGAGATATACTATATTCATGAATCACAAGATACAATAATTTCTGATTACTAAATTTATCTATGCAACTAATGTAGTACCAATCAAAATCCCAGCAGTTTTTTCTACTAGAAATTGAAAAAGAAAACTGTAAAATATACACACACATATATATGAAAATGCAAACAATGTGGAATAGCCTAAACAAATTCAAAAAATAACAAAGTTGAAAAATTATAGCATCTGATTTCAAGCTTTAAAATGAAGCAACAGTTATCAACATGCTGTGTATTATATATAATAGATATATAAATCAATGGAACAAATTATTGATCATATAATCATTATGAACATAACTATATCCCCAAACTTCACATGTTGAAGCTCTAGCCCCAAATTGACTATATCTATGGATAAGACATTAAGGAGGTAAAAATAGGATGTGGCCCTAACTCCATAGTGTTGGTATGCTTTTAAGAGGAGACAGCAAAGATGTGCAAACCAGAGGAAAACTCAGTGTGATGCTAAAGTAAGAAGATGATCACCTGCAAGCCAAGTGAACAGACCTCACCAACTCTGCCAGCATCTTTACCTCGAATTTCAGCCTTAAGAACTGCAAGAAAGCACATTTCTATTCTTCAAGGCACCCAGTTTGTGGTCAGTGCTAGCATATACAGATTTGGTATTGATGCAAGCATACACGGTGTGATCAAAAACTACAGTGAATGTTTAATTTTCTAAACTTATTATAATAAAAAGACACTATAATTAATCTTCCTCAAAATACTTTCTCTCACTTAGAACACACTTGCTGCATCAGTCTGGCCACTTTCTGAAGCAGTTCTGAATGTCTTTAGTTGCACTGTCATGGCTGCCTCAATGTCCTGAATTCATTCATGACCATTTTGACTTATAAAGACCCAGAAGTCACATTTCTGGAGGATGAGACCAATGAGGACACACAGTAATGTGTTTGTTTGACAGAAACTGCTTAACCACTTTGAACTGATTCAGGACATACAGGCAGCCATGAAAAGACATTCACAAAAGAAAACTTTCAGAACTGCTTAAGAAAGTAACAAAAACAATGAGACAGGTGTGTCCAAAGCAAGGAGTGAATTTTGAAGAGGATTCACGGCAATGTGCATTTTATTGTATTAAATTCTTAAATTTAAACATTCACAGCAATTTTTATCATACCTCATAGATACAATGTAAATCAGTGAAACATAATAAAATCCAGAAATAGATCAACAATATATTGGGCATACTTTTACAAAGACACCAATGTAATTCAGTGAGGAAAAAAATAGTATTTTTAAAGAAATAATACTAAAATAATTAGATATTTACATGTAAAATATCTCAAACCTTATTTCACATTATATACAAAAATTTAAATGAATTATACACCTCAATGTAAAATCTAAATGTCTAAAACAAAATATGAAAAAATCACAATTTTGAAATAAAACTTTTAGACTTCACACAAAAAGCACAACAACAAAATTTGAGGAAAAAATTTGATTAATTGAACTTCATCAAAACTGAAACCTTTTGATTTTCAAGACACCGGTAAGAAAATGAAAAGATGGGCTGGGGATTTAGCTCAGCGGCATAAGTGCCTGCCTTGGCAAGCGCACAGTTGGGAGTTCAATCCCTGGTACCGATTAAAAAAAAATGAAAGAAAATGAAAAGACAAGATACAGACTTGAAGAAAATATTTGCAATACAGATGTCTAGGAAACAATTTATATATGGAATGTATCAAAAACTATTACATCTAATTAAGAAGCCAAACAATAAAAGTGGGCAAAAGATTTTACTGGATTCTTAACAAAAAAGTTATATAAATTATGAAACATCAATTTATTTGTGACAAAATGTTCAACATCACTAACCAGTAGGCAAATGGGTATATAGATTGAGATGTTTTTACACAGGCAATGAAATGCCTAAAGTTATGATTGACAATACGAAGAACTGACAAGGATGTGGGGCACCGAGAACTCTCTCAAACTGCTGGAAGGAATATAAATATACCTTGAAAACAGTGTGGCAGGCTAATATAAAATTAAGCAAACACTATTTGACCCAGATTTCTATATCCGGACATTAACCTACAAACAATGAGAACATATGTCCACACAGAGTTGCACACGTATGTTCATAGCATTTTTCCTCATGACAGTACAAGAGCAGAAGCCAACAGGGCATCAACTGGTGAAGAAATTGTACTACAGTCACATAGTATAAATATTTATCATGAAAACTGAATGCATGAAACCATGGAGGCATCTCAGTAGGTCAAGTAGAAGAAACTAAACACAAAGGCACATACCATGTGATTCCATTTGTCAGAAGCTCTGGATCAGGTAAAATGACTCTGTAATGAGAGGAAGCAACAGGATGGGGAAAGAAGAGAATGGAGCACAAGGGCTGCAAGAAGCTTTCTGAAGTGATGAAAATGTTCCAGGTCTTCACTCGGGGCTACTCCAGGGGCATAGACTTTGATCAAAATTCAGCACACTGTACATTTAAAATGTGTGGGTATCATTGCATACAAATATGCTGCAATAAAATTGATACCTTTTAAAGTTAATTAAAGTGAGAAATTTAAAAGTTATTCAAGGAAGAAAAGCAGAGGAGGTCCTCTTTCAGAAGGGAGAGAAGAAGGAAAACAAACGTCAGCAAGCTGTCAGGTCATGTATTCTGCCGCGTGTGGGTGTTTTGTTTTCTGTTTTTTGTTTTCAGCAAGCATATGGAACTTAGATCACGAGAAATAAAGTCGAGCTCAAGCTCTTGCGTCTCCCCGATGCCTGGCCCTATCGGGGAAGCAGGGGAGACAAAGGACCTCTGGATCTCCACCTCCTACACCCTTCTTTTCCCTTCTTGCCCCCAGACGCTGTTCACACTGCTGGTCTTGGTGCTGTACTTGGGCACGGGGATATCAGGTAAGCACTCTGGAATTTGAAAAGGGATGAGACAAGAGCACATGGTCAGGTGGGGATTCTGGAAATGGACGCCTGCCCCGGGTCCCCATAACCTATCTTCTCCTGCTCCCCCTTGCTATTGGGAAGATCAGTGAGGTTTATTTCAACTGCCACTCACCTGCCCTTATTAAGGAGTGGTGTCTGTGCTTTTTGCAGGAAGAAATTGGGAGGTGTACGAAAGAATCAGGGAATGCAACTTCTCCCAGAATCCTTTGGCTTCCCAGGTGACATATTTAGGAATGTAGTGAGGGGACCACAGAGGGGTGGGAACCCGGAAAGCTTCTCAGGTGAACATCACTGGCAACTTGTGTTGGGAAAGATAAACAAGGAGCTGACTGGTGGAGTAGGTTGGAAGGTGTACTCCGAGCAGAATGAACAATATGTGCAAAGGGCCAGGGAGCTTTTTGAAACAAGAAAGCCAACTAGAAAATGTCAAGATAAAACTTTGGTGTCTGCCTTTCAGGGGTATGGCTATCACACCAGACAACCCTCCGAAGAGCCAATAAAGCTCCTCAGAGACTGGCTGAAGAAGGGCCTGCATGTTTTCTTGGAGAAGTTAGAGGAAGAAGTGCAGGAGCTGGAGCGGCTAGTGTGGGACCTGGAGTTGTGGCTAGATGCTCTCCTGGGGGAGCCATGCCTGGAAGAACCCTACTCCGGCCACAAAATTCCCTTGTGAAGATCAGTCCCTGGGATCTGGGAGGAGAAAGGTGGGAAATGGGAAAGATAGGCTGAGTTCTGATACTTCACGCTCAAGGCAAGCAAGAGAATAAACTGTTTGGGAAATTGAGTCCATGTTCATGAACACTTATAGGAACAGCCTCAGGAGGACTCAGGAGCCCTTCTGAGATACCCTCCCTGGTACCACAACTGACGCTGTGGAACCAACACGGGCCTTCAAAGCCAGCCATGCCACCAGATACATGCTCCACTGACTTAAAATATTTGCAAATTTCCTTAACCCTCCTGAGACCCCGATTCTTCATTTGTAAGAGTCAAAAAAACATATTTTGCCTCAGGCCGTGGCAGAGTATATCTGGAGTGTAAAAAGAAAGGTCTGGCAGATACAGTGGTACCTCAGTGCACAACTGAATTTGTTCTATCATTTTGGAAAATAGGGCCATATTGGTGTTTGTATGGGAAACTTGGTCATGGTCAGGTTGTCACTGGATGCAGAGTTTGCAAACAAAAACAAAATATTACCGCACACTTCTGTTTGTGAACCAAATCGTTTGCAAACAAAAATGTTCCTGTACTTAAGTCGCCCTGTTGTAGATTGTCTAGAGCATCCTTCTTCATTTCTCATGCTATTTTGCCTTCCTCCCTGGATGGAGCAGGAGGATACTAGTTCTGTATCTATAGATACTAAATGATACTCAATCTTGTAGCATAAATTTATAGGACCGTGATGCAGGAGAAGTGGGACAGTAGCTGTCAAATCTACAAATGCATGCCCTCTTTGGCCCAGCAATCTGCCTCAGGGAATCTAGCCCACAACTATATATGCACATGTGTGGAAGGAAAAAAACTATACATATACATATATATGTATGTGTGTGCATACATCCTAGCTGTGTTTTCAATCCTAGCTGTGTTTACAATACCATGAGTAAACAGAAGTAACCCAAATGATATCAGCAGGGCTCTGATTAAATAAATTAAGATATAGCCATTTACCTATTAGAGCCTTGTGATTATCCTCCTTTATAACTGAGTAGCTTTCCGTTATATAAAAATGCCATATCTTTCTTATCCATTCTGTGGTTGATGAGCAAGTTATCACTACTTTTTTTCTCATTCCCTATTGCATGCAGCATTGTTTTTTCTTTCCTTTGACTTTCAATCTATGAATTTCCTTGCAAGTTAATGTGTTTCTTGTGCACCACATACTGATGGAGCTTATTACTTGATCCCACTCTCCCTGCATTTCTTTTTATTGGTGAACTGAGGCCATCTACATTAATGGTTATGGCCAGCATGCACTGGTTCATCTCTGCCATGCTTTTTTCCTGCTTTTGGCACCTACTTTTCCCCTCTATTCAAATTTCTGCCCCACTTTGTGACCCCGCTCTGCTGCTGTTCCTGGGACCATGGTCATTTTTATCTCTCTCTAGAATATTCTTTAATATTTTTTGTAAGTTTGGTTTGGTGGTCGTGAATTCCTTCTGCTCTTTGTCATGGAAGTATCTTATTTGCCTATTAATTTGGAAAACAGTTTTTCAGGGTACATCAATCTGGGTTGGAATTTGTTTCTTTCAGAACTTGAAATATTTTACTTCAAGCTCTTCTTGACTTGATAGTTTGTGTTGAGAAATCTGTCATGATTCTGACGGGTTTTCCTTTATGGGTGATTTGTTTCTTTTCTCTAACATCCTTTAATAGTCTGTTCTTGTGCTGAATTTCTAGGATCTTGATTATTATATGTCCGGATGTGGATTTATTTTGGTTACAATCATGCTCTTGGGTAAAATGGTTTGGACTCATATAGGTGAACATCATATTGTCTCCCTACGATAAAAAACTGGAGGATTCAGTGGATCCAAAATGTGCAACTATCTCTTAGGATGCTGCTTCTCAATCACAGTTTCTTGATTATCTATCTGCTGACCCCTGAAATCACCCATAGGACTCCTTCAAGGCTCACAATCTTAGGTCTCATCTACAGCTCCAACTAGCTAGATTTTAAGAAAGGCTCTGGATTGTCCTTTCCTTTTAAAATAAAAAAAAAAACTGTCTGATTTATGGTTCTCAAAATGCATTCCTCAACACTTCAGTCCCTCAAGATTCTCTATGAGAAAATGTTATCCCATGGTCAAATCCACTGCAGCAACTTTACACAATCAATCTCCCTCATGTGATTGACATTGTAGTTGACCCTCTGAAAAACTTAGCAGTAGGAATCTGACTGGTATGGTTTGTGTCTGGATGTCCTCCCAAAGCTTCATGGGGTCATGGAGGGCAGGCTCTTCAGAGGCAGCTGAATCTAGAGTTTGTGATTGGTTCATTGTGTAGTGCTGGGATTGGCAGTGTGAGTGCTGCACCCACCCAGGGGAAAGTAGCCTTCACATAATGTAAGAGTGAGAAAAAGGCTTCCTCCTACTTTCTTCCTCTTTTGCACTCACTGCTTTGGCTGTCTTTCCCCACCATAAACTGTTGCCTCTGTGCCATACCACACTGCCATAGAGCCAACTAATTTTGGACTGAAACTTCTACAAACCAATAGATTAATAAGCCTTTCTTTCCTTCATTTTGGGCATCAGGTATTTTGTCTCAGCAAAGAAAAAAAGTGTAACCAAGACACTGACCTCACATAGTCTGCCAGCTTCCATACCTATTTGACTGTGGAATCACTTTGGTGTGCAGTTCCTAAGATCATCCCAGGAAACACACGTTTCAAGGCATATACTTTGAGAAGCACTAGACCTGAGCAATCAATTCCTGACTGCTACCTTCCATATACCACACTGAGCTTGAGAAAAAAAGTTTACATGGTCAAGATAAAGGGATCTTGCTCTCAAAGATTGCTACCCAGAATAGTGTCACTTTTGGTGTGGGACAAGTGGCAAGATCTTGTTGGATGAGGAAGGGCTCAAATGAAGTAGATCTCTGAAATGACCTAGTAGAAGAAGCAGTACCTCTTGTATAGATGGAAAGATATGAGGGGCCGGAGAAAATCAGACAGAAGACATTATGTGGGGAGTTAAAGGAAAAACCAAAAAGAGGAGTGGAAAAAGATGATGAAAACTTTGAAAGAAAGAAGATGATTTAGCCAAGGCAAAGAAATGGTGAATAATTTCACAAAGCTGAATGGGAACCCAGGAAAGGAGAGATAGGAATCCCATGCTAAAAGGACATCCTTCCCTAAAAGTTTATGAGTTTATAACACATGTGCCCTTGCCACCATTTCTTTTTTTCTTGTCTGTGACACACCTCGACTTCCTGATGCAGGCTTTCTGATCACACTAATATCAATGCAGGATCACTGAACCAAGCTATAACCTAGAATAGAGACACTATGGAAAGAAAATCCAGCTCAGAATTTACTCCTCAGGTTTTTTTTCATTTTGTTTTGTTTTTACTGACTTTCCAAAGGTCATGTGGCACTCTGCTTTTTGATTAGAAATACCTTAGGCAGCACATAATGAAAAAAATTCCATTATAGGAATCAACACAAATGGCATAGAGACTCTTTACAGAAGTAATAGCAGAAAACTTCCCAAGCATGAGAAAAGGACCTGAGGTACAGATAAGTGAGGCATATAGAACATCAACTAGCCATACCAAAATAAATCTACATCCAGACATATAATCAATATCCTAGAAATTTAACACAAGAACAGAATATTAAAGGATGTTAGAGAAAAGAAAAAAATCACCCATAAAGGAAAACCCATCAGAATCATGACAGATTTCTCAATGCAAACCATCAAGTTCAGAAGAGCTTGGAATAAAATATTTCAAGTCCTTCAGAAAAAAACTTCCAACCACATTGATGTAGGTTGCAAAACTGTCTTTCCAAATTAATAAACAAATAAGATACTTCCTTGACAAAGAACAGAGGGAATTCACCCTCTGAATCCACCCTCTTTGGGAGGACACCAAATCAACCTTACAAAAAATATAAAAGAATATGCTAGAGAGAGATAAAAATTACCATGGTCCCAGGAACAACAGCAGAGTGGGATCACCAAGTGGGGCAGAAATTTGAATGGAGGGGAAAAGTAGGTTGCCAAAAGCAGGAAAAAAGCATGGCAGAGATGAGCCAGTGCATGTTGGTCATAACTATTAATGTAGATGGCCTCAGTTCACCAATGAAAAGAAACACAGGGAGAGTAGGATCAAGAAACAAGATCCATCAGTATGTGGTACACAAGAAACACATTAACTTAAAAGGAAATTCATAGATTGAAAGTCAAAAGATAGAAAGAATTCTCGATTCTCCATGCAATAGGGAGCCAGAAAAAAATCAGAGATAGCTTGTCCATCAATGGCAGAACAGATAAGAAAGATATGGCATTTTCATACAATGAAAAGCTACTCGGCTGTAAAGAAGGCTAATCACATTTGTAGGTAAATGGATACAACTTGTGATCATGATCTTGGGTGAAATGGTTTGGACTTACATAGGTGAATATCATGTCTCCCTAGTATAAAAACTGAAGGGATAGTGGGATCCAGAATGTACAATAGCGAGGTCTCTGGAAGATGGTGGACCAGTAAGCAGCAAAATAGGAAGCCACTCTGAGAGAAACAGTTCAGATGTTGGAATAAAACATCATGGAGAAGACCAGATGAAGGGAGATGGATCCCCTTGACCAGGAAGAAGAAACTAAAAGGAAAGGAAAAAAAGAAGAAACAAAAATCATAGACAGAAGGCTGTAGCCAGACTCATTCTCACCAGAGTGGGTCCCATCCTATGTGAAATGCCACTGGGATCCAGAGAGGCACAGTTGTGGTGAGGTCAGAGGTTGGTAAGCCTGAGTGCCTTGCGGGAGGAAGTGGTTACAGAGGGGAGCAGTGAAATGGAGAGCAGCACTGCATGGAGATCTGCCTCCCAGATCCATACCAGGTTGCAGTGAGTGCATGGAAATCAGTTCTCCCATGGGTGTGGGCAAGGGACCAGGCAGCATTTTGAAGTCGGGCAGGGTAAAACTGGAACCAGAACCACAGTGGCTTGAGTCAGCTACTCCTAGTGCAGAGCAGATTGGTGAGAATTGCTTGAACTGAGTCCCATCCCTGTGCACAATAGCCAAGGATGAGGCCTCCCTGAGACTG